GTGAGAAGCATACATAAGATAAGGCGCAGCCCTGAGGGTACAATACTGGTTCCCTCAGGGTCCGCCACATCAGATATAAGTGGGCTGGGGGTCACGATAGTGATCGGATGGCTAGTTCGGCGGTCTGTATATGGATATTATATCGCACTTAACTCTTCGCTGGCACTTTAGTCGCCTTGGGACGTGGTCCGATGAGACCCGGCTCTTGGAGGAAGTGAGCGGGGCGGGCGGGGTGGGGGGCAGCCGGGAGGCGGGAGAAGCGAGCTGCCCCGGCGGCCTCTCACCTGTGTCGTCCCCTCGCGTCTGGGCGGCCGCGCTGCTGTTGTGGTAGGACTGGAGGTAAGGGCTGTGCTGCGAGTGGCTCATGTAGGGGTAGGCGGCGAGCGAGCGGTGGTTGTAGGAGTTGCCGCCGCCCGACGCGTAGGGCGAGCCGTGGTGGTGGTGCTGGTGGTGGTGGTGGTGCGAACCGGCCGCCGCCGCCGCCGCCGCCGCCGAGTGCAACCAATGCCGAAGGTAATGCCCCCTTCCATTGCCGGGGAGCTCTTCTGCGAGTGCGGCTACGGCGGCGGCGGCGGCGGCGGCGGCGGCTGCTGTTGCTGCTGCTGCTGCTGTTGCTGCTGTTGCCCCGAACTCCATGAAGGCGGATTTGGACGAGTCCTGGCCTTCCAAGCCGTCAGCCATCGTAGTCATGGTCATCATCAAAACTTTGGGGGCTGGAGAAAGCCTTCTCCCGGGTTTCCTCCACCCTCCCCCCACTTGGCTCGCGCCGCTCTCCCCTCTGCAGCCACCTTAGCTCTTGGGATCCTTGCAAAAAAAAAAAAAAATTAAAGAAAGGGGGGGCGGAGGTGGTTCTCCCTCTCCCTCGCTCTTCTCTAATATATATATTTTTAATATAAAGAGATATAGTGAGCGGGGCCTTGTTAACTCAAAGGGAGGAGGAAGGGGGAGGGATGGGAGAGGAGAGGGGGAGGGGGAATCTGCTCTCCCCCCCCCTTCGCTTCCCCCCTTGGTTTTTTTGGGGGCTGGTGCAGTTTAAGGCAGAGATTTTAAGGTGGATTCTGCGAAAGTTGCGCGTCTGCTTTCAGACTTGATGCAGACGCCACGAGTCGAATGGTTTGTCTCCAAAGGGCAGCGCCTCCCCATTGGTCAGCCGCCCCCTGACGTCACAGGCGCACGGCTTCTACTGGCGTTTGCGCGGCTCGCAGAGTTCTCCGCCTGCCTCCGGCAACTCCAATCCCAGCCGGAGCAGCGGCGGCGGCCGCGCGGCTCTGCGCCCGGGGCAGCCGGGGAGGGAGGTGCCTCCGCCGCCCGGCCTCCGCCGCAGATCGCGCCCCCAAACCCGGAGCCTCAGTTCCCGATACCACAGGCTGGAACCCCCTGGCTGGGGGCTGCTCTCTCTCAGTCCCCTTGCACCCTAGCAGGCTGTATGTGTTCAGAAGCAATACCCTCTGCATTTAAAGCTAGCCCCCCCTTCTTTGAACTCGCCCCCCCCAATTCCACTACAGTCCCAAGGGAGAGTCCTGTCACCGTGGATTTTTCTAGACGTGCTTTATTGAAACCACAGAGGGAAGAACCCCCACACCTGGACCCCACCCCAACGCGGGGAGATGGGTAAAGAAAAAGAAAAACCAGACCCTGTTCTGATGAGGTTCCTACCGTTTCAGGCCCTCAAAAAGGGGGGAAATGCAACCCCCCCCCAAAAAAAAACGCACCAGCCTGTTCTGAAAGCGAATCGTTGGAGGACTGACAGTAATGCATTTTTTCCTATTGAAAACAGAAGCTACTGTAATGCTTTCAAATATATGCAAATGATACATGCGGTTAGTGGTTTGGCAAATCTTGATTACAATATAAACTACCCAAGTAAAAGTGCCTTCGTCCTAAATTTGTCTCTCGATTACAATTCCAATTGATTTTATTTTATTGTCAACATTGTTAATGATAAAAATAGAGTCGTTTTACAGTTATTTTTACTTTCTGGAAGGAGGCAATTAGAGTTCTAATCAGGAATACACAAAAATCTCCCATGATTAACTGCAGTACTTTGTTCAAATTGCTGCTATAAAATTCAGAACAATTTGCCTGTAATGATTATGGACTGGGTTTATTTTGGGAGGTGGAATAAAAGTGGATATAGCATAAATTATCCTCTAATTATACACCAGTGTCGCCTCAATTATCCTCTTATCAAAACGGTTGTCTAACTGCCGCATTTAGTTTCAATTCTCTCATTTTTTTCTATAAAAAGAACTTCATACCTTGTTATTATTAATCCATTTATTATTTGCAAGGGGATTTATATCCGCACATCCAGGTGGTAGAACCACTTCTCTTTCACAAATGGACTGGGGGAAAGACAGCAAGTTCGGAGCAGCCCGGGGCTGCGGATCTAGCCTTTCCCCTGCAGTCTGCAGACCCGCTCAGGTCCAGGCAGCCCCGCGGAGACCGCGCAGCCCTGCGCGCCGCTCCGGCCAGAAAGCCAGGTAGGACAGCCGGGTCCGGGACCCGGCGCCGAGGAGGGCGGGTCGGGCCGCTCCCAGGGCCAGAACCCGGGACTGCGGGAAGCTCTGGGCGTCCGCGCTGCCTGAGGATGGGGTGGGCAATCCCTGCGGACCCTCGGGGGCCGGACGCCAGTTTCGATCTGGGAACAGACCAAAGCTGGGAGCTTCGGCCACACGCAGAAAGGTCTGACCTGGCCACTCGGGACCTATGTGTCTACAGGTCGCGTGCACGAATCAGGGTCTTTCTCTGGGAAGACTATTGAGGGCTTCTTTGCACTCCATTCGCTCGGGCTCCATAAGTTCTGCGGCCCAAGGAACCTGAGAAATGGACAATTTAGTGGTGCCGCCTGTCCCTGTAACTCCAGAACCGGTGGCTGCAGACTTCACCGCGCGGACTCTATTTACATGTGGCTCCGAGCTCCGAGGAGTCGGTTTATGCTAATTGGTTTACTCCCCTTGCAACCCGGGGTCTCCGGGCTTTGCCGAGCTAGTTTGCCTCTCTTTCTCTTTCTTCCTTTCTTTTCTTTCTTTCTTTTCTTTCTTTTCTTTCTTCTTTCTTTCTTTCTTTCTTTCTTTCTTTCTTTCTTTCTTTCTTTCTTTCTTTCTTTCTTTCTTTCTTTTTCTTTCTTTCTTTCTTTCTTTCTTTCTTTCTTTCTTTCTTTCTTTCTTTCTTTCTTCCTTCCTTCCTTCCTTCCTTCCTTCCTTCCTTCCTTCTTCCTTCCTTCCTTCCTTCCTTTCCTCCTTCCTTTCTCTCCTTCCTTCCTTCCTCCTTCCTTCCTT